GTAGTGACAAATTCTAATTCACAGAGACTTACTTATTCAAATTTAAATGATTTATTCAAGACTTATCTGTGAACAAGAGGTAGTATTTAAGGAGAGGCCTTCTTCAAGGGGATTCGTATGATATACTTCGGATATCACCAACTCTTAAGTATAAATCTTCATAGGTAAACTTAAATCTCATAAACTTCTTCAGATGACTCGAACTAAACCTCTTGATATACTTGAAATAAACTTCTGTAGCTGGAACTTAACTTCTAAGTTTCTATACTTCTAAACATCTAAACATGCAGCTTGAACTTTCTTCTAAACATCTAAACAATCTCTTTAGATATAACTCCTACAGAACCATCCAGATACAGCCAGGCTACAAGGGAAAAGGTAAAAATATCAAGAAAGGAACTAGGAAGTTTACATAGAAAACAGATAAAATGCTTTTTACTATTAAATGAAAAAGTTAAACTATTAAGAAAATAGTTTCACAGAGACCAAAATTAATAGGAAAAAAAAGTCCTATTTAACATATTTAAATATAGTAAAGCATAATATCTCTTTCCTAACAAAATAATATATAAAATTATATAAAACATGTGATTCTTGTGTTTTCATGTTGAGGTTATGTTTCAAATTTAACATTTTAATTAGAAATTCTTGTACAAAATATATATTTTCAACAATATATCGCTATAAAAACTTACCTTTTTAAAATCAGCCGGCTGTTAAGAATATTAATAGACAATTAGTACATCAGATCACCCAGATAATTAAAAATTTAATAAATCAACTTGCTTGTGGACAGAAACGAATCGAAATGATAATCCAACTTTTGACATAAGGCATAAACGACAAATGACATTTGCGTAGAGATGTTGGTGTCAAAATAACGAAAACGGTTTTAACCAATAATATATTCTGTAATTTAGAATTATATCTCTTTCCTTGATGTCTATACCGTTCCTTTTATTAAGTTAAAATATTACTAACATTTTCATATTTGATGTCAGGCCGGAATATTATAACTAGCATTTTATTCTGCTATTACCTACACGATCAAGTAATACAGCCTATAGTCAATTGTTTTCTTTTACATCTTGGAATTTTAATGTCAGTCCAGAATATTATATCAAGCTTTTTATTATTCTGCTATTACCTATACGACCAAGTTATACTGCCTGTAGTCAATTATTTCCTTTAACACCATTGGAATTTATGGGTCAGACCAGACATTACCTTCTAACTTTTAACTGTCTGCTACTGCTTATTTTTTTGTAAAGCAATACTGTCTGTAATAGCTACCTTAATTTTTGGTAATATGTATTTAGTTACTAATAGTAGGTATTTTTTTTTATTAAAAAAATTTTTTTTTCTACCCAATTTCCTAGTTAACATAATTTTGTCTTTACATTTCTCTTTATTTGTTAGTATAATTTTGGATAAGTATTTAAAACTATCTAGTTTTCAATTACCAATTTAGGAGAGTGTCTGAATTATATTAATAAATTTTGTTTTTTATTTTTTTTTATTTGCTAGCTTAACACTGTATCTATCGATTATTAATATGATTCTGTACAAGTTTTTGAAACTGAAACGTCAGTTTGCATTTACCATATTAAGAGAGTGTATAAAAATATATTTATAATTTTTTTCTTGCTATTAAATCTTAGTGCAGTGATTTATACAATGACTTTACCTATTTTTTATTAAATTTAGTAAATTAAATTCTACATTTTTAAATATAGTGGCTCTCAACATTCTTTTTCAAAGTAATACGAGTTATTTAATAACCTGACCCACTCCCCAAAATCATAAGAGCTTAAAACACTATAAAAAATAGATAAAATAACAAGATCACGTTACAAAACGTTAGGAAAGTAGTTATGAGATTCCTCTTAAACATAGACGCAAGAACAGGAAACTGAATTCCACCAGGTGTACGGGCCTCATTAAGCAAAATAAATATATCCGCATTTAAAAATTTTAGCAGATGAAACAGTAATTTCCTGTCCCAATACAACGGTCCTTTTAAAGTAATGCCATGCATGAGCAGGACAAGAACATATATAAGAATAAGATAAATGAACAGAAAAATTGGTTTTGAGTATTTTCAAAGTAAACTTGACAGATAATGTTTAAATTTACCAAATAAAAAGTAATTTTTTGTGTATTTACTTTTTATAAATAAATAATTTGTATCTACACACTTATTTTTATTTCACATAATAGGAAAAGAGATTGCAAGAGAACTACCACGCCTAGAAAGTACAAATTTGAGTCAAACTTGTATTTTTACTCTATATCTTTTACTTATCTTATGGCCAGGTTATGAATTTTGTCACAAAATACCTATAATTTATGGGAAAAATCATTATTTTTATTAGTAATATTACCTTAAACCTTCATATTTACAAACGAATGTATTACAAAATAACCAATAAAGCTTAAAGTAACTGCATAAAATCTAAAATTGGCAAAATATCGAATTTTAAACACTATTTCCCATTTAATGCTTATTTTTCTATGTCCCATGTGACGTCACCGTCAGTCAGCTGCATGAGCAGGACATACCGTTAGTCTGTGTATAGTGACATTTTGCAACTTGTATTTCAATATACTATTTCGGCGCTTTCTCCCAGATTTTATGTAAAGTGAGAAGAACCTCAAAATATATACATTTCCTTTTTGGCGCCCTCTAGCGGCCAAAATATGAAATTTGGTTAAAAATGTAAAAGGATATTAAATTAAAAATGGGAAGAAAAGGAAATAATTCCAAACTCAAATGTGACTGAGATTTAAAATATATCAAATATTACTCAAAGCCATAGTTACAATAATATATGTGCGGCCGTTTCTCTTTCGACAACAACTATTCCTTTGAGGTATTGAATTACGTCGAAATAAAATAAAATATTTTCAACACTCTACCTTTGATTTTTTCCGCTAAGGAGAAAGTAATTCTTGAACCGGTTTCGTCCTTATTAGGACTATTCAGCAAGAAATAGATATTCTCGACTCCAATCTCTAATGGAGTCTCATTGCAGTACCAATTTATATCGAACTCAATTACGGAGGGTTGAGCATAAGTAGATATTCAACTAGCGAAAATCGTATCGCCATCTATACTTAGTAAGCAAAATCAAAGATCGAAGTAGTACCTAGTTGAAAGACTAGATGGAATAAAAGCCAGGCAGGCTATTCTTAAAAAAGGGAGGGAAAAGGAAATAATTTCAAAAACAAATGTGACTGAGATGTCATAGAAATGCGTTGTCCAGATATATGTTGCAGAAGTATCTCGCAGTAGCGAGTGTTTTTATTCGGTTTCTTTGACCAGGCCGTTGAGAAAAGTCCACATTGTAGGATGGGCATATTGAAATAGTGATTGCAAGCCGTTATGCCATCCTTCAACGCAATTCGTAGTTCTAGATAATCCTTCAGCAGCCGATTCCCGCTGATACCAGATTTGCTTGGGAAACATAGTTTCTCTTTTTCTTCTTCCTATGCATAGCTGGCGACCACGAATAAATGTAACTTTAAAATAGGTGATTAATTCTTCTATATCCTGGCGGTCTTCTGAGAAAATTTCTGTCAACTTCGTCCACCGGAAGCAGGGATAAGGCACATAACATTTTTATATTTGTCGCTAAGTCATCTGTGTTGCTCTCATACATATTTTTTAAGCCGAGTCCCCCAATTTTTCTTAAAACAGCCTGAGAGGGATAAAAAAACGTCCAGATATTTGGGCCGTGGGAAATACTGTTTGGAAGGAGTTTATTGCTGCCATCTCGAAATCAGTGAGAATTCGTGTCGGGGCTGCTTCTGGTATTAAATTCTTCAAAGCCCTAAGCAGCCTTGTGTATATTTCTTGTGTTTTTCCAGTTAATAATGCTAGAACGCAAGGCCACGAAGTACTATTTTCTTGCAAGTAGATGCTATACAGTTAAAAGAACAACTCCGGAACTACTTTAAAAGACCCATCAGCTATACAGTTTGATTTTCGTTCCAAAAATTTTAACAAGTCGTGTTTGCCAAATATAATTATTCTGTTATTGTCTTCTCGTCCAGAATCAAAAAGAATATATGGTTTGTAGACTTCCGGAATTTCAGGCGTAGAGGTTGTAGTTTTACTACTTCTTTCTACAGTTCGTGTTAGAGTTGATTTATTTGGCAAGCACACCTTGGTTCCATCTGAGAGATTCTCCGTCACTTCAGCCATAGCTCGCTTTACTGTCACACCAGAATTGGCCATCAATATTTTCATTTCTGCAATGGAATTTTTAGTTTATATTTTGGAAATGGATGTGACGATTTGGGATGTGATGAAGTATCGCAGTGGCGAAATGTCGCAGTGATGAACTGCCGCCGGGATGAATTGTCTGTCCGTGATGAGATGTCGCGTGATGAAATATACTATATTTATTGTTTGTGATGGTTTTGATTTCCATTTTTGATAAATAACGGATATCATTAGATAGGATGATCATAATGTAATTGTAAAACTTTAAACTTGTTTTTCTTGAAATAATCTTTATCCACTTGTGCCTTAATTTATAAATTCTCTCAGTTAAAAACCACGACAAAACAGTGACAATTTTTATAGGTTATGGTTATTCTGAATTACAGTACTCGAGGATATATTTTATAGTAAATTACATTATTACGTTGTGTTACCATAACAGATAGGTTAACTAGGTATTTAACAAATAGTACAAAACTTTGATTTACCTCAACAACCTCCAATAGACGTTGCATTTACGTTGTATAGTTAAGTTACTACGTTTATTTAAAACAACATTGCCGAAAGGCTTGGCAACGTTATGTGCTATGTGCTAGCTGTGGATTATAGTTCAATCAATATCTTAACTATTCATTGTTATGCCCGATAGAATTAAAAGAAAATTATCGAAATTTACAAATTTCGATTTCATTAATAAATACCTACCTAAAAGAAATAAAACATCTTCAAATATCGTTTCACAAACTTTATTGATAAAAAAAGTAAAGTGCATTATCTGGATTTCCGAACGCGACCTACCTCACCTGAAAGTATGTGGTCTCAAGCAACACAAAAATCCTTTTACGAATCTCCCTTGAGATCGCTAGCAATCTCCTTCAGGTCTACTACGCGTTTCTCTTTTATCACTTTCTTATACCACGATGCCGACTTTTTTGGCGTTCTCTTTCTATTGGGGTCAGTAAAATCGACGTGATACAAGCCGAATTTCTCCCTGCAAAATGAATAATTTCATAAATAACGTTTGTTCTTTTTCAAGGGGTAAACCGCAGGGAGAATTAGATCCTTGTACATCTAATTCTGGAATTGTAGGGAATGTACAAATTTATAGGAATTAAAAGCAATTTTAGAAATGAATAGGGAATTGCTGTAAAATTGCCGGGCAATTACCAGAATTGTCAAGGAATTGCCAAAAACCTGCAATAGGAATGTTGATAACTCGACAGTAAAAGGAAATAAGGTATACAAATTTTAACATGCGGTTTACCTCTTGTTTTTTATACCGGGTGTTTAATTTGAAAAACGGAAATAAAACTTAACGGTGAATATAGGTCGCCAAAATGTTTTAAATTTATAATGGTAAGGGAACCAGTGATATTTTTAGATATATTGCCTTTTCAAAACAAACTTATACATTTTTTGTTCATCCATACCTTGGAGAACATGAAAATGCTTGAAAATGCTTTGCTGCTTAACGACTATGTCTTGAAAACCCGTCTACAAAATACTAATGTCATAAAAGCGCAAGCTTGAAGCTTTCAGATAATATTAACATTAAACATTTATTAAAATTTTTTTTTGCCATTTTGGTATCTGTGGAAGACATTGTTTCACGACCATCAAGTTTGGAAAATAAAATTGTTTCCTCTGCCAACGAATAACCTAAGATAAGAATATAGCGGCTACAGTCTAAGATTACTGTGCCATTTTCTATTATTGAGAAGCAGTTTTTTTAATAGGTTAGAGATAAGCAGACAGGGAAATAATAGGCCTGCATGGTTTCTTAATGGTTTTTCTGGCTTTCGCAAAATTTTAAACCTGGCAGGAATGTGTTTTGGTCAAAAAACTGCGTTATGAAATTGCTTCAGAATTTTACACATTATATTAAATCCTGTTCCTATCATACGACCTCTCAAAATAAAGGATATACAAATGCGTTCACTTATTTTGTTTCTTTTAAATATGTACAACTTTACATTTGAAATAGTAAAATCTAATATAAATCATAAAAAGTACATGAAGTATCATGGTTATTTAATCACTCAATCTGAGCTTAAAAATCATACAATAAAATTATACACCACATATATATCTAGTATTATTCCTGCCTCCTAACTCATATTCTTAATAAAAAAACAGACATATTCTTCTTATACTGCCTATAAAGCACAAAGAACTTTTACCTATAACCTGCTACCCATTGGAAACTGTCAAGAAAACTCCATACGGCGTAACCCTTTATATTTACTTTGTCTTCATGTATAGATTCCAGAATTGCTTTTAGGTATTTCTAAAATATAAAGATAACATCAATTAAAAGCTATACTCTTATTTAAAATACTTTAATATTCTTTAACTCTATATCGATTATTAATTATTATTATAGTGCATATTTGTTTTAATAAAGATATAAACTTGAGTATTATTAATAAAATATATTTTCCAAATTTATCAAGTTAAAAAATGGTTATAAAGACATCAGTGGTATAAAAACATATTATGCATTTCCAACATGTTGCATCAGTTTATAAGGCCAACCTTTTACAATAAATTTTGATCAAAATTGAATCATTCTCGGCAAGACGCAAAGACCTGCAGAAGCTCTAAAAGATAATTGGTATAATGACGTCATACAGATTTACCGCGGGCACTTTTAAATTCTAAAACAAAACAAGGCCCAGAGTGTGAAATACACTCCAGATCTTTAAACCTGTGAGCAGTAGTGCCAGTGTAGTTTAAACCGAGCTCACGGAGATTCTCATAGCAGCAAAATAAATCACTAGATATGATATCACTAGATGAAACATGCTCATCTATACAGATAGCAGACTAGCACAATTTACCCTGGACAGACCACGAATGTATTCAGGGTTAGATCTAGAATGTCACAAAGCTTGGGCCCAAGTATCCATCAACAATATGGTCAACTTAAGATGGATCAAAGGTCAAAGGTATTCGTCTTGCTGATTCACTTTGCCAAGAAGGCAGCAAACCAAATACTTTTTGAACCTAGCTCCTCGATTGGACTGACAACATCGGTAGTGACAAACCTAATTAAAGAATATTCCCTTGTGAAATTCAAGGAAATATGGGATGAAACAAGAAGCTGCAGACTTGTCAGGGAGCTTTTAAGTTATCCTGGCAATACTACAAAAAAAAACTTGACTATAACTAGACAGAATCTACGCAGGATCACAAGCATATTTTGTCTGGTCATTATCAAGCTCAGAAACAAGTCCATTGTATCGACGCACTCATCAGGCCCAGATTCGCCTGATCACAGGCTTTCTGACTGGACATTGCCAACTACGGCACCATCTCCATATCATGGGCCTGGCAGAATCCACACTCTGCAGGGGATTCAAACAAGTAGATGAGACCATCGAGTATATCCTTTACGATTACTTGACGCTCTCGTTTATTAGAAGATTTGGGTTCGGCGAGAATTGGCTAACACCAGCAGATATAAGAGAAGCATCTCTTGGCGACGTTGTCAACTACATTAGATGTGTAGGCTTACTCACGAGCTAGAAGGTGCCTATCTACTAAGGAGGATGCACAATGGACCTAGTGAGTCCTAAATTTCTCAATACCTTACAGATACAGATTGTACAGGCTATATAAATTGACAAACAAACTAAGATAAATCAAGGTTGCATTTTATTCGATTTGCATAATTCGACGGCATTGTGTCTAGACCAGGGTCTATCAAAGTGGGCGATAACGCTCCCGTAGGATCACTGGAGGTCTTTAGGGGGCGGCAGAAGGCACAGAGAAATGGGGGACGTTAAGGCGGTCCAGGGGGCTGTGACACATTTTAAAAAATTATGTTTAAATACTTATTTTGGCAGCTCTATAAATAAAATGGTTTCGATATTTACTTTCCCTATAGAATCCCGTATTAAAATTAAAACTAAGTAGATACCTACCAATCAGTAGCAGTTTCTTTATTGGTAAATGTGCAGTGAACACCCTTTTAAATTTAATAATAAAATAAATATTTTTTCAAGTTGATATAAAATCATAAGGCGATGATGAACCAAACCACAAAAGTATTAATATGCCATTAAGACTGTTTTTTACTCAACAGGATCTGATAAATTATTTTTACTTTTTAGTGAAATTTTTCAATAAAATATTGCAAATTTAAAAAATATTTTTTTTATTTTCATTTTTTTAGTTTAATTATGCGTGTTGTCTAGTAGTCTACTACAGAAATTCGTTTAATAATTTCTTTCTTGAAGCGCACAAAATAATAATTAAACACATACTTTGAGTTCTTACGATCCCCCACTGCTACTTACTGTACTGTCATCGCGAAATCCAAATAAACTTATTCCGCCGTCAATAATGCACTAATCTATATGAATATCTATCATAACTTGTTTGTACGAATTCGTACATGAGATAATTCCTGTTGGTACATGTTGGATTTTTAATCTATTTATAAGGCAGGGTAGGGTGGCTTTATTTTGGAATTAGTAGCAGTTTTCTAAAGGTACATGCGCGTTGTTTGTTCTTTTTTACTTAAGTAGTGTACTGATCATGTCAGGGGCCAATAAAAAAAACGGCAGTAAAGTGCGGAATACATTAAATATAGTTTTATCGGAAATCCTACAAATCCATTATCACCAATGTGCTTTCTTAGTCAAAAAATGTTTTCAAATGAAGCTATGAAACCTTCGAGATTAAAATAATATTTGAATAAAATACATCCGGAAAAAAATTACCAAAATGTCACATATTTTTTTCAAACATTTCTCGATATATTTTATTGTTAATTGCTAAATCATGAAAACCACATTCTAGTGTGGAAGAGTTAATTTCACCGGCAGTGAACGAAGTCATAATCACTGTCCTCCACAAACCACTGTCAGACATTATCCAAAAAATTCCTCTCAGCAATAGTTCCGTGCAAAGACGAATCGATGAGATGGCTAAAGACATAGAATACTCATTGTGTAATTATCTGAAAACATGCCAATTTTCAATGTAGCTGGATGGGTCCACTTTGCCAACTAATGAAGCGTATATGTGAGGTTTATCAAAGAAGAGAAAATATGTCAAGAATTATTATTGCCCAAAAACTTAGAAACAATAAGAGAATTCATATTTAGGGCACTAACAAATTTTTGTGACGAAAAGGAAAATCTTTGATTAATATTTTAACAGCTGCTTCATGGCCTACTTAAAAATGAAGTTCCAAATGTGATTGTCATACACTTGGTTGCAAAAAATCTAAGTGGACGTCTGCACATTTCACTGCAATATGTCATCAAAGCAATTAATAATATCATAAGCAACTGAATAACAGATTATTTAGTCAGCGTTGCGCTGCTAGATTCCAACCATTTGTTGCTTCGCACAGAAGTGCGCTGGTTATCAAGAGGTACTTGTTTGACTCATTTTTACCATCTGTTTGAATATGTGTAAGAGTGATAACCTCTTCACCTTAAAGCATGATATTGCCTACTTGACAGACCTCTGAAATTATTTAATGATGTTAATATCCAACTTCAAGGCGACGACTTAAACTTGATTAAAACAAAAAATGTTGTTGCCTTTCGTGGCCAAACTGTAACTTCACAGAAGAAATATGGGCAGGCGTGAATTTAATAACTTTTCTAGGTTATCAGCAATATCTTCCAACATCAACAATATTGACTTGCTTGTTTACTGTCAACACTTGGAGAATATTCACGCTGATTTTTAAAGAACAATTTTAGGTCGACAGTTCAACGATTCCCAATAGCATTCCCATCATCGTATTTATCTGAGCGTGGATAGTGCAGTAACAACCCTGCTAACTATGAAGATAAATAGGCTACATGTTACTAAACTCGTTAAATTACATCAGATTCATCCCTCACATTAGTTAAGAGTTAAGTGATAAATTCAAAGCTTTCTTTAAATATCAATAAAAATATTTTTAAATGTGAATAAGTATCCTTTTTTAATTAATAATTTCAGAAAAAAAACATTCTTGTTTAAGCTCAGTAATAAGATATCTTCATCGTAATGTCGTAGTATCCTAAACTCGTATATTTTTAATAGAAAAAGAAAGTTCTATATTCGTCGTGGACCTTTTTTTATGTATGTTCGCGAATTTCTCGGAAACCACTTGACGGATTGTTTTGGGCTCATTTTTTCGGGAGTTCTCCAAGTTGGTCCTATCCCATAGAGGGTAAATAATTTATTTATTATTAATTGTAATAAAATTAATTATTTTTTATTTTTTAGTGAAGTCGGATCTATTTTTTTTTTGTTTATGTTCAATTACAGGTGTTTTTTTAGATATTTACTTAGATAAAATATCCTTAAAAAGTTTTGGTGGGCGCTACACGAATGTTTATTCTCAAAGTGGGCGGTGGGCAAAATAAGTTTGAGAACCACTGGCCTAGACAGAAGAAAGCGATCCTTGTTTCTAGTAAAAAAGGGCAAAACCCTAGGTATTAGCGTCAAAGCTTACACTGTTTAGTGCAAGAACCAACATAGTCTAACCGTTATATTTATGAACTGTAAACATATGTTTTTTTTATTCTTTTACGAAATGCTTCAGAATAAGTGAATTACACTCGACCAGTTCAATAGGTTGTTATAAGCTCGTGACATGTTTAAAAATTTAAATCGTTAACTGTATTTGGGAACTGGAATCGACAGTTCCGTTTAAACCAAAACAAACCCAAATAGCTCATCTGTCTACCTTTAGTTCATGGTAATACCTCATGCTAGTATCGTGTCGTTATCATTAATTAAAAATATTGCGACAGCGTCCATCTGGACAGCAACACAAATAGATGAGGATCCCTATAGGAAATTCCTGGATGATCCTTATCTTGATGAGGGAAAACCGAAATTATTCTGTTCCGGTTATATTAAATAAAACCTTGAACTTGAACCAGAAATTAATTAAAACTGTCAACGGATATAAAATATCTGATTTAAAATGTCTCCATAAAACTAACACGTGGAGCCTTTACAAGTAAAAGTACTCATAAAATGCCAGTATAAAGTCAGTTTTTTACCTTCATAAAAGAATAAATCCAGGACATGAAACAAACACCTACAGACTTTCAGTGTCAATAAATGTGTACCTATTTTATATTCACTGCAGCTGGAAAATTCAAATAAAATTAGTTTAAACTTCGTCTAGTTCTAATACAACAATTGCCTTTCACTTTTTACGGAGGGTTATACTTTTTTATTGTGAATTTCTCAGAAAATGATATTATTGATAAAAGTGAGTACATGACCTAAAACTTTCTACGAACTTAAGATATATTAAAAAAT